CATCTAGTGCATGAAATAGAAAGGAAAAATATATTACACCATTTCATTACTCTGCTGTCTTAATATCTTTTTCTGTCATTGTGTTCTTCTTTAACTGGAGCTCTTCTAATCAGTGTCCCCTGACACCAGGACTCCGGAGCAGTTCCGAAGAAGACTCAAAGTGTGGGTCTTGCCCATTGGGGAGGTGGGTGTGTGTGTGTCCCATTAGCCCTTCTCGCGTGCTCCTCTGCACTTTATATTCCGGGCTACTTTTCTTGCAGAAAAGATGAAGAGAAAAAGCTCTGGAACTACGATCTCCTCCAATGTAGTTCTTTACAGTCTTACGGTACCTTCCTCTTCTTCCGGTTACCAATTCTTCACTTCCTAGCCCGAGTCTGATTCCAGCGCCTTCAGAAGCTCCTCACCAGATGTTAGATCGTAGTCTGTATATATGCGTCCTTGGTGTGTAACTGATATATGGCCAAGTGGAAGCCATCGGTACCTATAGTTCCTCTCTGCGAGCTTTTGTGCAATTGGGCGCATATTTTTCCTGGCATTTAATATTTCAAAAGGAATATCTGGATACAGCTGAACCAAGGTGTCTTCACGCTTCAGACCTGTGTTCTTCCTAGCAATTTCCAAAAGGTGCCGCTTAATCTTCGTATCCTTAAGTTCTGCCACTATATCCGGTATCAATGCTGGTGAACCCGCTTAGGGAGGGTTTAAACGGTAGACATAGTTTACCACTGGCCCAAGAAGCTGTATCATTCCTTCTAGCCACTTGTTTAAAGTGGCAGTAAGGTCCTTGTTCAAATCAAAGTTCAGGGAGTTCAAAGAAATTCCACGGAATTTCACTTTAGTTTCCCGTGATTTAATTTCTAACAGCATTAGCTTACTTTTTGCCCATCCTTCAAAAGTTTTTAATTCAGCTATTTCTTTAGAGTTCTTTTGCATACCGGTAGCCGCTGTTTCCACCTTCGCCTGTGCATCCAATGACTTTTTGTTAACTTCATCCAATTTATTCGTAATAGGAGAGACGCTGTTTCTTATCTCCTCTTTTAAGTCTTGTTTTAAGTCTGTCAGCATCTCCTGTAAATGCTTTTTAGTTAATGAGTCTCCTCTTTTCCTTTTACTTGCCCGGGCTGCTTCTTCCTCCATTTCCAATGTGGGGGGGGGGGGGGGCTCCATAGGGTGAGG